TTATGCAATTCAGCTTGCATCCGGGGGACACATGAAAACACTTTTTATTGATTCTGAAGGGTAGTTTTTATTTTAAGTGAATTTAAAATATTGGCTAAATAACACTGAAATCAAATCTATTTCCAGCTCCTATATTCAGTTCAATTGTAGCATTTGCTCTTCACAAACTACGTGAAGACTTTGAGGTACAAATAAATTCTGGGTTTAGACTGTATCAAAATCAAGATGAAGAGTCCCTGCAGTGGCAGAAGTCCATCAGTGATGACAGCTATTTCTCACTTAGAAATATTTATCGGTGTAGAATGTCAGTATTTCCCATATTTTCAATTAAACTTCATAAGCCTCTGTCATGTTGCACGTATATGTAACATTGTCCACAACTGAGAAATGAGAAAACAGAGATTTAAACTGACCAATGACATTAAGGAGAACTAGTTACTGGAACTGAAACAATGGTAAAGGACAACTCCCTCTTCTTTAAGTACTTAAACAGGGAAACATTTTCCCTGGGGTTTGAAAATCCTTCTACTATATGCTTAGGAGAAAGATATGGAAAGACTTTCCTCACTGGTAACTCCACTTAAATTCCTACAGCAATGCTAGGGGTAAATTTAGAGAAAAGTTCTTCTCAGAAACAGTGCACTAGGAAAGTGATTATTTTGTTGGTAGGAAGGAGAGGCAGTGGGAGGATGGAAGCGGGACTTTTGCTGCCTTGTCAAACCAGAATGTCTTCTGCAAACTAAGGAGATGCTTTCAATCAACTGGCTCTACCCAAGAACTTTGGACACTTCATTCTTCTTTTTTTTAATTTTTTTAAAATTTTTTATTAGTTGTCATTCTTTGACATGATGAATACTTACAGCAGTATGTTAAAAAAGATACAGTTAAGTCTCTTGGCATCACTGCATAGCAGTCACAGCATTTTCACACAATCTAGTGCTTCCTTTCAGAATGACGCATATGGCATATATACGCACATATGGGGGCTGATTCTTGGTCCCAGTGAAGTTGGTGGGACCAGTGTTTGGCCCATAGAGTTGTATAAGATATGTGAATATGTATATATAAAATGCTTTACAATAAACATGACATATACAATCTTGAATTCAAAGATAAGCAGAATATATTTTACATCCAAGTCAAACTTACGCTCTGCACTTAAAGTTTATGTACCTAAAATATTGGATGGATTATAGAAACAAATAATAGAATAATAGTTTGCACCAATCAAAGTAGTTTGGATACATATTCATGGCATGAAGCTTGCCTTGGGTTTTTGTTTTGTTTGTGTTTTGGGGGTGGCTTTTTTTGGATTTGCAGGATCTTAATTCGAATTTAAGTATTTATTTTTGTGGGCCATGAGCAGGGCATGTGGCGTCAGGAGGGGAATGGGAGTACTTTATGGACAACTCAGCTGAGTGACTTAAAATATAAGGCTATAAATTGCATCTGGTACCCTGACTGATACCTGAAAATAAAATTATAACTGCTTGAGTGTTTCTCCTTTCCGACGAGAGTCCACTTGGAAGGGCTAGCATGCATTCTGTCTCTGGTTTTTTGGAAACTTTTAATAGAAATTTCAACCACAGATTGGAAAAGCTGGTGAGATAACTATGCAGTGTGAAAATGGGCTTATCTCATTTACTGGGGTAGCAGCCTTCTCACCAATCATTTAGGGAGACTTTGATTTTCTTCATGAACACCAATAGTTTATAGAAAAATAATTGACCCGTGTTGTAGATTAGGTTAGATAGAACTGCAGATCATGTGGTTTTTTTCCTTCCATAGACTCTACTTAATCTCAGCTACTCCTCTCTCTGTCTCTGTATTTCAAAGGTATACATTTTCAATAGTCCTTTTTTTCCCCCCTTTTGGCTGGTGGCTGGAATGTTGACCCTTAAAAACCCAAAGGTAGGTAAAAATCTTTACTTCATGAAAATGCATATGTATGCATTATTTTAACCAGCCTACAAGTTTCAGTTATCACTTCTTTCTTTTATTATTATTGTTGTTGTTATTTATACAGAATTTGCCTCTTTGACAGTATGAAATCTGTGTTTAAAGAAACTACGTTTTAATGAAATGAATTGTATTTGTGGGGCATAAAAGTGTTTTAAGCTCCTGCTTTTAGCAGTTTTCTGCTTCCTTCCTTGTATGAAAAACCTAACTCAGTTTTAAAACCTCAGAATCTTTTAGCTGCACTGGCACAATAAGAAAGAAAAATAATTTACAAGGGCTTTCTGTAAAGGGGCTAATAGGGCTAACAAGACAAAAATCTGCATTATCTGCACAGATATTTTTCTGTTCCGTGCATCTAGCATTCTGTTAGCATCCTGGGGAGAAATCCCAGTACAGAAATGTCCTCCAAACTAGATAATACCAAATATATATCACAACTGCATATACTGAGCACTGGTGCTGTTGGTTTGGCGGCTATGGGAAATCAAATGGTAGCATTTTGCATTACAGACCCCAGTGAATCTGGCTGCCTGGCATCTGCTGCCAGAGCCTGACTTTTCAGCGCACTGTTGTCTAGAGCACCTGAGGCAAACTGGCCCAGACCCAATCTTGTGTAATGGGTTTGGCTCATGAGTACAGAAGCATTTCTGGAGCCACCCTGAACCTATTTCAAGCATTGTTTCATTAGGCAAGGTGATTGAAATCTAGCAAGTATGTTCAGTGCACCAAAAAACCCCCACAACCTGTTCATTTTAAGAGCAGCTTTTCAAAGTTGGTAAGTTTTAACTTGGTAAGAGCAGACTTGTAATGGACCCCGTACACTAATTACAGAAAAGGTCTAGGTTTTCTTGTAGATATAACAGAACTTGATTTGTATCTAAGCTTTCCTGTTGGACCTATTTTCTGGAAGCTCCTCAGAAACAGCTCGATAATGTATCTGTCAAGAGCTTTTTATGCTGCTAGACATCAGGTTTGTTTAAGGAACCCTCAGAACATTTTAAAAAATTTTTTTGAACTAGATAGAAAATGGCTTCCATTTCTTAGTAAAAACACAAAACAAGGGAAATTATATCCTTTTGTATGTACTTAAGTGCTTCTAAGCAGCACATTACACTGCTCGCGTAATGTCCTAATAATTGTCCTAAATCTGTCAGGAGAAGGAAATATATACCTAAAAAGCTGCAAAGTGGTGATGCTCCCGCTCCCACCATCAGGTGGTTAAAAAGACATTTATGTCCTGTGGTTAGAAATAATTTTATTCTACCACAACTCTCTCTGCTTGTTATGGTACTTCTAATACATGAGTCCCATTTAGAAGAGGGAGGAAGAAGAATGTTTTCTACTGCTTATAGCTTACAAAACAGTAAAGGAGAAGAAAAACATCATTCTCGGGATGCTTTGTGTTCTCATAGTGATTTCCACCTTCCTCCTTCACTGGGTTTCAGTCTCTTTCTCTGAAGATACGTGTCCAATGAATTAGTAGAGTAAAACATTCTTTACTAAAACTTAGGCTTTTTCTTTTCCTTTAAAAATATTCGTCACCTTATGAGCATGAACACTTTGTCTAATCAAGTCAATAGTCCCTGTAATTGAGAAAAATTCTATTATATCTCCCCTTGCACTTTTATGAGTAGGTATTACCTTTCTCAAACACCAACTTCAATAGCTCTTTCTTTGTTGGCCTCTCCAAGGTATGCATGTCCAAACATGATTATATGGCCACATCTGCTAGTTCTTTTGGAAAACAGTTACACAGATTGGATGTACTGGGGGTTTACAACACTATACTTTACCTGAATGCAACTAATTTTTCTGAGGGCAGAGGAGAAGAGGACAATCACTTTGGTGCAATGCAGTAGTGTCCGAGAATACAATCTCATTGAAATGATGGAAGCTTAAGTAAAGTTTTATAAAGACTATCCAAACTGAAGTTGTTTATAGCATAGATAAGGCCATGTATCTTCCACGAACACAAGACCATAGAAAATTCCTCAGCTACTATGATAGTTAAGAGGATTTTTCTTAGCAGTCTGACTACAATGCATTTTTTTTTTCCTTCATTGAATGAGACTGATCTAAAAGTCAGTTGAAGTTTTTTTTTCTTAATGAAAAGAAAAGCCCAAATGCATTTCAGTGCTGGCTATCTAAGGAGGGAATGTGGGGGAAAAATCAGCTACACTGCAACATCACTCAGGAAAACAATTGGACTCCAGAACTATTAGAATGTCGTACTTTGTAGATCACTAAGCTATTTAATAAAAATTCACACTCTTGAATAAATGGTAATCAGGGTGAACTGTCAAATTATGTGGTGTTGCTGTGGGTTTTGTTTTGGTTTTTTTTAACTTAAACTTCAGGCTCTGTGAAGCATTTGCCTAGACCGAATGTGCAAGGTGCCATGGATTAACAACACGGACCCATATGGAATGTGTTTGAAGTTTTCAAGAAGTTATCCTGCCAGACTTCATTCCTTAATGACCTTTGATACACCTTGGATAGTGGAAAGGCAGTTCAGAATCATATCTTGTGATCATATGATTTTGGCAGCTATCAGAAGATGAAGGATGCTCAAAGTTAAGGCTTTTATCCACAAACAATGGTGTATATTAATAAACTCTATACCATATTTACAAATGCTTTCTCTTGTATTAAAACTAACAGTATTCTGTTCACAGTGCCAATGTTTTTACAGGTAGCAATCCCACAGTACTCCAGTATTTTGGCATGGGAATCAGTAGCGCTTTGTATTTACAGAAAATGTACACATATGAATATAAACATGTTACTTGAAACAGTACTCAAAAGATAGATCTGTTCATGTTTCAAAGGTTTAGACTGTACAACACCTTCCCTTTCATTTGCGAGGGAATACTGTTCCTTGCAATGAGAAGATGCCCATCTTTTATCCAAAGTGGCATAAAAATGATTACCAAAATGAGCCTTGTTACACTGGAGTTGTGTATACAGAGAGTAACTTCAGTCCAAGGTTTATAGATCTGTTGTTTAGTGCACAGAATACAAAAGTTAAAAAGGTTTTTGTTTTAATTACTAAAATAACCAGACCCTCTCTGCCCTCTGTGAGCGCTCTCACTCAGCCAGTGTCCTCTGGATGCTGAAGATGCTGGTGGTTTAATGTGCAGCCCAGCTGCCAGCCTCGAAAGCGTATGGCGCTCTGGGCCTATATACACATGTCACAGTATGACTCGTGGTAAATGAATATATAACCGAGAGTGCCTCTATCTCCCCTGTTCTCTCAGTAATCCTCCCTGCTTCGTGGTAGCCGTAACCGGCCCGGCTTCAGTACTGCTGACTGGCACTCCGCATTCAGGCAGTTCATGATCGGAAGTGAGGAATGGCATCAGGCATGCGCAGAACGAAGAGAGGGGAGAGGAACGTGAAGGAGATCTGGAAAGGAACCCAGCAGAACCGTGGGCTTGTTCGTGAGGACCCTTACGGCTTCTGCTTTGCCATTTCTTCCCTTTCCACGGTCTTGACAACAGGCTCCTAGCTCCCCGGGATTTAGTTTGTTGCTGTGATCAAGACAGATATAGCGGTGCTATAAGGAAAAGTGCAAAGCTGCCACTAAGGAGTCTCTGCTTCATTTAAAGTCTGTTCTTGGCTGCCAGTCACTTGACCTGAGTGGTCATTGCTCCTACTACTGCTGTGTTGCTTGTGGAGCAAACTCCTCCACTTGGCCTTGTTCCTCCTGAGATGGTTTAGCATATTTTCAGATAGGGGGGTATCGCCTGTAAACTGGGCCCACCTCTCAAAGAGTGGCTCTACGATGTACGTCATGAACCCTGGGGAAACACACAAAAGACACAGGTGAGGAACAAATTCATTCCATGAGTGTATCACCCCAAAGAGAGCCTTGAGAGAATGCAGCAATGTAAGTGGCAAAAACCGTGACGAGAAATAACAGTAACTCCTCAAGCAGCCATCAACTCCTTTTGCAATGCACAGCTTCTGACCAGTGCATGTGACAAGATGTGGCTCTATCTCTGTGTGTAACAGTAAAATCTGTGAGAGACAGCATCCTTCTCTGAGAAGATTTCAGACTAGAAAGCAGCCAGTGTGTTACCACGTGTTGGCTGCGATTTTTCTCCGCAGATACTAGAATGTCCTCTTTTTTCCCAATGCAATGACTCCTTTGTCTTTCTGTTGAATATTCGGCTTGGATAGGTTTCCTTTTGAACACATGTAGTTAGAATGTGAATCGTGACTCTTATGGTACCTACCGTTCACTGTTAAAACAGCTTGGGGGGGTGGGGTGGGGAAGAAGCTTCTCTTCGAGCTTATGCCATACTGAGATAAACACAGAGAGAAGAGACTGAAACTAATACTTACCGATCTGTATGCTTGGTATTGTATCCTTCTGCTGATTACAAAGGGGGCTTACTTCCAGTTCAAATTTTTGTTCCAGGTCACCTGCAAAAAAAGAAGAGAAAATAATTTGCTGCCATTTACGTCTCTTCTCCATACCTCTTACAGTGACTGCAGCTGTGTGGATTTGAGCAGCTGGCATCTTGCACCAATGACGACCATGTTAAATGTCTAAATACCTCAATTTTTTGGACTTTGTTTTAGGTATCAGAGAAACTGAGCATGCATACAAAGAAAAAATCTCTCTAAGGAAAGGTGACTTTTGAGTGAACATTAAATCTGAGCACTTACATGTTCTGAGGACCTTAATTTTTAAAATAGATCCTCTCACATGAAAGATTTTTAGGACATTCTAGTTCATTTACTAGTGTTCAAATGTCTTCCTACGAGAAAAATGTAGATTATATATTTTAGAAGAAACACATCTCCGTTAGTACTGTAGCGTGAGTTGCTACTGTGTGCTTGTGGAAATTGCTGTTAAAGGGCAGCGTGATGGAGCCTGGCAGTCCGCAGCTGTGTCTGCACTAACAAACTAATAAGGGCCAGAGCATGGGCTCGGGCAACATGTGTTCATGTGTCAAGAGCTATGGAATTTAAGTTATAAATGTGGAAAAAGGATGAGAATTAAAAATTTGTCTTAGATTTGTGGTGTAGCCGGGTATCAGGTCTATCTATGCCTGTGCTGCTGCACTGAACTTACATCACTAATTCCCTGGGTGGTCCAGGAAGTCCCCAGAGTCATCTGCACAGGACTGACCCGAGACAGCGGACAGATCTGAAACAAAGTGGTTGACCAAACTCCTAGCCACCTTCGTAGCACAGTATTTGACTAATTGGAAGAGGAGGGCTCCAGGTTTGAATCTGGGACTGCCCTGAAGACTCCTACAAAGCAGCTCCTGCTGTGACTGGCCCAGGGGTCTGTTTCAGATTGTTGAAGAACAGCCTGGGTGGGGGATCTGCTCACTCCAGATGCCACCTCAGACTGCTCTTGCTGCAGAATTGACCAAGTTCAGCATTGAGAAGATGCTTCTAAACAGTCAGTAGAAACTATTCCTGCAGATGCAGAAATGGATACGCAAGATAGTCGTCTGTACATAGGTAAGACAGGAGATTTTTTTTTTTTAATGTAGTTGAAGGTAATCAATAGTAATGATCATGTGTATGCGAGCGGTCACAGAAGACCACAGGCCAGCTGGATATAAGAATTCAGCAGAAAACGAGCTCAGGGAGTCTCATTTGCCCATTGCCATCCAGACAGCAACCACCTGTCCGGCCGGAGAGATTGCATTTCCCCATGCAATCAGTACACCATGCAAAGATTACTGTAAATGAGTTAAGGTTGTTTTGTTTTGTTTTTTAAACAAACACCCCGTCTGTGAGTGCAACACGTTCATCCTTTGCTATTTTTAGCTTTCTGTGAGACACTGCCAGGGTACAGTCTCGGTTACTGCATGAGGTACAGACCCTTTCCTATCTACAGTACGGCGGGAAGGGAGACCAGCTGTGTGCAAGCTAAGCTGCACACTTGCCCTCAGGCAATAATACTTTGTCCTTTTGAGTTACTAGTAAGGATGCAGTGAGGGATGGTTATGAGAAATGTTCCCATAAATAAGACTGACCTGCTAGATCAGACAAAATGTTGTATTCAACCCCCCCAAAAAATTTTGCTTTAAATCCACTGGTTTTGTCTAAAAGTTCTTTTCTCCCCACTAATAGACTGTTTTGACTTAAATGCTATTGTGCCACTTGGGCGCCACAGCCCCATATAAAATACTGTGTGCATTTTTAAGCCTTGCCTTTCTTCTCTCTGCAGCGTACAATGGCTTCTTAAATGTAAGCAAGGGGAGTATTTTCAGTTTTAATTAGATATTTACAAAATATCAGGGAAATGCGTATAGCGTCACAAAAAATCCAAAGGAACAATTCAGCAAAACTGAGACAAAATAACAGTTTGTCATGCTTCCAAATGTGTGATTTGTCCTCTTCCCCTCTAGCCCCTCCAAAAATCTTTGACCAAAATAAAAGGGCGTCTAACTCCAGTGATATCCCCTCTGCAGGTATTCTGGGTTCAAAATGGTTGACCTGTCTGGCTGGAAGTGTATCAACATCTTCTTATCTTTGACAAGTCATTTAATTGACAAAAATAAGATTTTTCCTTTGCATGGTAAGGACTTAAATTTTCAAGTTTCATATGTTTCATATGTTTCAAATTGCTATAAAAGTAACTGCATGAATTAGTTGCTGAGAGCTTTCACGCTGAGGAAAACCTTCCAAGCAATTTTAAAACCTCACCAGAGAAACTGATCATTAATATTACTTAAATATTAGGCATTTTCTTGAAACTGGTTTCTTGCCAGTTCCAGTTTTATATAAACAAATCAAGTTGCATTATTTACGCTGTGTTCCTATTCGACTTTCAAAACACCCATCTGAGAACAACTTAAAGTATTTTTCTAGGAAAGGTTCATGTTAGGAGCTGCTGTAGGCATCAGGTGCTCCCTGAAATGTACCCAAGTTGTATATTTTATTTGCTAATAGATGTAGCATAGATGCACCAGATGACTGGAAGATCAAGATCTGAGTCTATTAAAATGGCATTAGAAACATTTGGTACAAAAATGTTCACACTTTGTACACGTTCCAGAAGAAAGATGAAACATGGTACGGATTGTGGTATTATCTGCCTCAGCTATAGTTAAAAATCAAAACATGAGAGATACGGTTTTCAAATGCTAAACAAAAAATAGCTTCAAGCCCCAGCATTGTGTGTAAGGGGGTAGAGATGTCTACAATAACATTTTAAAGTGATAATGGTATCTAAATACATGCTATTTAATACTGTTTTTCGTATCACTTACCAGAATTATACCAGTGACAGTCAGACTACAGTTTCTGTATATTCTCCCACATGAAATGCTCTTTTTCTCCCTGTTACACTTCTAACTGGTCTCATATGCTCCAGTGTCACCTTTCAGAGGTATATTTTAGATGTCATACTAATAAATCTTGAGTCTTGGGGAAAAAGCTTACATTTATAAGAGCTGAGAGCGCTGTTGTTCTCAGCACGGTCCCCCAATATACTAAAGGTGAGCTATTGCACAACTGGGGCCCTGTCCTCATGAGTTGGGTATTGATTATGCTTTGACTATACATCTGACTAAATAAACCTGCATCTGACAAGTTGCTTATGTTGCTTCAAAGGCATCAAAGTCAAGGACATTTCACCAGCTTAAACTGCCATTGGCTGAAAATTAACTTGCTGGCCTCTGTCCTTGTTAGGGACTAACTGTACCAGGTACCAGCTCGGATGTGGCTTAATTTTGTAGTGCGGAATTTTAAATGAATTGAGAACTTCATTGTGTGCTCTTCCAGTGTTTGTACCACTTGCCTTTGGCTCCCAGGATGCTCCGAACAAAGAATTTAGCAGTGATTAAACTCTGCTGCACCCTGTGTTGTAGCACAGCATGACCTTGCCTATGCAGATAGAGCCAAATGGTGTAATTACTGTGTTTCAAAAAAACCCTGCCTGCCTGTGCTCTCTGCAGGGGTTTGAAAACATTTGCAATAGGTCCTAGCCAAGCTTTGGCTTGCCTGCTTCGGCCCTTTCAACAGCGTGCTGGGAAGTGCGTTTGAATCCTTTCTCTGCATTTGTAGGCAGAAGAATGTGTCATATTTGGGAAACAGTGAGGGTAAGGCCCCCATCGGAGTTGCAGTGGGAGCGTGAAAAGCGAGATAAAACACAGTGGACAGCGGTACGATTTTGGTGCAGCGCAGCCCTGGCGCCATTCCAGCTCAGAAGAGCTAATGGTGACTGGAGGGTTCTCAGAGAAGAATCCAGCCGTGGGCTCTCCAGCCAAATTCAAGCGCTGAGGCACAGCAGAACCCTCCCTCCTGCCTGACACTGCTACAGGAGCAGCGAGGGCAAAGAAATACTTGCTGCTCTTCTACCCCTTCCCACTTTTCAAATGAGGCAGACTATCTCTTCAACAGCTTGTTCTTGAGGGAGATTTCAAGGCAACGTGGGTAGGCTGAATGCTACCCCTGTCTCGCCGCACAAAAAGGCTGGAAGGCCGAGGTGAAAGGGGACCGCCGCGCGTGAAGGGGCTGACCTTGTCGGTAAAACTCTTCGCAGACGCGTTCGCTCCACTGTTTGCTCAGATCCCAGAGCCGGCAAGGGTTGCAAATGTCAGCGCACTTGAGTGCAATCTGAAAGCAAAGAAGAAAAGTAGTGGTGAGAAAAGAAATTATTGTCTAGAGGTGCTTCAGCAGCAAATCTGCAGCCATGAAACGCCCAAGCCTCACCAGCAATGTTGGGAAGGGTTAAGATCACCTTCTAGAGACTCAGAGTCACTCAAACACGCCTTTTGAGGAAAGAGCATTTATTTAAGCTGCAAACAAAACTTTCATTCAGCCCTCCGCTTTACCGTAGTGAGAACAAGACGAAGGCCAAATTCCAAGTCTGCAAAGTCTTTTGGATATTCCTTGCATGGAATAAGCCAACAAAAGCCTCAGGCTGGCTCCTGCTGACTGCCTGGCTCAGCATCCATGGCTGATGGCAAGGAAGGGAAGAGCCAAGCTGGTGTAAGACTATTTGGGCATCATTTCTCTGCGGTCTCAGTGAGTGACCTTGCATCTCACTTCAATTACACTTCATCTTCATGTCTGCATATTTTTGTTTACAAAGCTAAGCACTGGGCTCTCCGCACTGCCCCTGGCTTGGTTTCACTTAGTTAACTAGTACTTTTAAGTGCTTTGCAGGGGAATGAGTACAGGAGGGCAAGAGGTTTTTCAAATCAAGTAACTGCTTCAGAAAAGTAAACCATGTAATAGTCTGTCTGTCTTAGTGCCTTGGAACAAGATGTCATGTGCCTCGCTTCTTCACAGATTGCACAGTCAGTTAGCCTGACAGAGCTCAGAAATCATTCTGGCATCCGGGAGGAAAACAGAAATATTTCCTGTATAAATTCAGACCTGTGAACTGGAGGAGGGAAGTCTCCAAGTCAGTCTTCTCTCTGGATTAAATTGATTAGCCTTAATGTTACTGTCTATTACAAGGACCTTTCAAACATTCTTTAACTTATCCCAATCAATCAAGTTTTCTTGATAGTTTTTTCTGTTGTTCTTCCACAGCTAAACCACCAGATAAATAAATCTCACCATGTCTGTGCCCTAGTTCAGAGGGCACTTCAAGAAGGCATGTAAGAAACTTTTTGCTATGGTCGAGATTTGTAATCCCTGTGCATTTGGCATTTGCACAACTTTCTTGCTTAATCTGTCCAGAAATATAAGCTGTGGCGGGTTGACGCTGGCTGGATGCCAAGTGCCCACCAAAGCTGCTGTCTCACTCCCCTCCTCAATGGGACAGGGGAGAGAAAAATATAACAAAAAAGCTCTTGCTTCGAGATAAGGACAGGGAGATCACTCAGCAGTTACAGTCATGGGTAAAACAGACTTGACCTGGGGAAATCAGTTTAACTTGATTACCAATCAAATCAGAGTAGGATAATGAGGAAAACCCCCAAATCTTAAAACACCTTCCCCCCACCCCTCCCTTCTTCCTGGGCTCAACTTCACTCCCAATTTTCTCTACCTCCTCCCTGCCAGCGGTGCAGGGGGACAGGGAATGGGGGTTGCGATCAGTTCACCACGCTTTGTCGCTCCTGCGCCTTCCTCCTCAGGGGAGGACTCCTCACGCTCGTCCCCAGCTCCAGCGTGGGGTCCCTCCCACAGGAGACAGTCCTCCATGAACTACTCCAATGTGGGTGCTTCCCACAGGCTGCAGTTCTTCATGAACTGCTCCAGCATGGGTCCCTTCCACGGGGCGCAGCCCTTCAGGAGCAGACTGCTCCAGCGTGGGTCCCCCACGGGGTCACAAGTCCTGCCAGCAAACCTGCTCCAGCCTGGGCTCCTCTCTCTCCATGGGTCCTGCCAGGAGCCTGCTCCAGCACGGGCTTCCCACGGGGTCACAGCCTCCTTCAGGCACATCCACCTGCTCCAGCGTGGGGTCCTCCACGGGCTGCAGGTGGATATCTGCTCCACCATGGACCTCCATGGGCTGCAGGGGCACAGCTGCCTCACCATGGGCTTCACCAGGGGCTGCAGGGGAATCTCTGCTCCGGCGCCTGGAGCACCTCCTCCCCTCCTTCTGCACTGACCTGGGGGTCTGCAGGGTCGTTCCTCTCACATATTCTCACTCCTCTCTGTGGCTGCAGTTCTGCAGGTTTTTTTCTTTTGTTTGCCCATCTTTAATACATTATTACAGAGGCGCCACCACCATCGCTGATAGGCTCAGCCTTGGCCAGCGGCAGGTCCATCTTGGAGCTGACTGGCATTGGCTCTACTGCACTTGGGGGAAGCTTCTAGCAGCTTCTTACAGAAGCCACCCCTGTAGCCCTTCCACTACTAAAACCTTGCCATGCAAACCCAATACATAAGCCCATCACCCTGCCCTGCATGGTCCATGCAGGAATCTGACAGAAGACTGTATTTGACGGAGGACACGCAAGCAGATTACTACATTTCCCATGCCAGTGGGAGGGGGAGAATTCACAGATAGTGCTTCTTTCCATACAACTCTCACCTTTCCTGTAACCTCGACAAAGTGATAACATGCAGATGTTTGTTTTATTGACGATACTGATTACTTAAACTGCTTTAGGTATTTAAGAGTGAAATTGATGTAATTTCTCCAGGGAAGCATGTATATGCAGCTACTTTAATCACAATAATGCTTTAATAGGTAGAGGGTTATTCTGAAGAGCCTGTTAATGACTGCAGCTTAGCTGGAAGAACCCGTTTGAATCTATTTGATTTTTAAATAAAACATGGTTTCTTCATTAGCTGGGCAGATCCACTAGAGAAGCACCTGCTGCCATGGCAACAGTTGTCTCTGCAGAGGCAGTTTCTAAACATCCATTGCAGGAAGGGGACTTGGGCACCTGATGTCAGGCTGTCTTGGAAAGAACACTGACAAGGGTGCTCTCCTGCACGGTGCTAGGAAATAACACTGGTGAAGCGATGTTTGCCAGAAGAGAAAATATAATCGAAGCATTACCTGGCAAGAGCTACGCAGTGGTCTGGAAGTAAAATAATTAATAGCTTATCTTAATTTCTCAGCATTTGACACTCTCCTGTGTCTGTTGCATTCACAGCTTTTTAACTCAAGGAAATGATCTAAGGAAATACTGGAGGCATCTTATGCTTGCCTGACATACCAGGTGGCTGAAGCAAAGTGTTTATGGTGATAGGTAAGGAAATGCTCACATCCAGACACACTAACGTATGCTATTCTAACATAAACTAGGAAATATTGTGACTTGAAAAATGAATAAAATACAATAGTGGAAAAATAATTTTTGAAGTTACCTGAAGCATAAAATGTCTGTCTTGTGCATCCTCCAGCCTCAAATCCTGATTGTCAAGGTGAGATTTCAGACGGATCAAAAACTCATTCTGCCTGTTGATGTCTGTTGCCAAGATCAGGGAGCCCAACTGCTGCTCGATGTCCTGTCTGCAATAAGGAAAATAAGCCCCTTCAATCATGGAACCATTGAACATTAATAACCTGCCACGGAGCACAGCTAGCATAAAGCTTCCTCTTTCTTTATGGATCCAGTCTGATCTCTTTGGTCGGTCTCTGCTGGGGTTTGCAGGGTACAACTGTTCTAGCTGCCTAAATGGGTTCAGGAGGAATAGATACTGTAGAAGGAAAATGCTTGTTGGCATAGGTGTTTCTGAAAGCTTCTGCAAAGTGACAGGAAAGTAAAAAAAACTAAAACCAACAGCATGATGCATCTAGAAAAATGCTCACATCTTACTTCAGCTGCTCAGAGCTGGGTGCTGAATACAGCAACTTTGAAGTGGCAGCTGAAGTTGTAAAGGACTGAAGTCCTTTGAAGTAGGACTGAAGTTGTTGGTCTGATGCAAAGGGTTTCTGGAGGCACATGGAGCTTATTGCTTCCAGGTAACTTGTTTATATTCTTGGTATGGTCACCTGCCATTAAAACTTAGTACTGCAGGCTATCCACAGAGTAACACTGCACAAAACCAGCAGGTAAAAAGTTAGCATCAACTTGGCCAAGGTACTTATGTTGCTGGGGTTTGGTTTTTTTTTTTTTTTTCTTCACCCAAAAAGACAGTGAAGACTGAACCACACCTCCTCAGTCAGGTGTGGAAGTCCTGAGCAGTCTTCATGCTACTCAACCAACTCCTTCATTTTTCTCTCTATTTCATGCTTTTTAATCACTAATTCGTTGGTGCCATTTAAAATGAAAAATGCCAACAATGGATCTGAAAGTCCTGCTGTGACTCCCAATGTTCCCGGTGCTCAGAGTGGCCATTCCTGTGCTGCAGAAGTGGCAAAGTCTTAGAAAATACTTCTGCTCTATAACTTTGTCTTATGATTTCATACTGGCACCAAGAGAGACAGGGCAGGAAGTTCAGCCTACTCTGAAGCCTGGGCCTCTTTGCCAGTTTCCTTTCAAGAAGAGTGATGGCAGCCATGGACTGGTTTCAGTGATGCATTTCCTCCAGCAGACACTTACGTCACCTCCTTGGGCAGATGAGCGAGCAGCCGTGACTCCCGAAGCATGCCTATTGTAGATCGCCAGTGATGATTTTCGAGCACTGAAACGTTCTAGGGAGGAGTAAAAGGAATAAATTCAATGGTTAGGCAGGTATCCATGGTACAGATACAGATTTTCCATATCACGATACCTAGAGCTGGTTGGAAGTGCTGTAGCATGAGCCTAAAATGTGTGCTTTTTAGCCACCTTTTGGATTTGAGGAATTGGTCTGGATTTCTAGAGTTAAGCACCTTGTGCTTCTAAGTTTCCTAGCTAAAGTCAGCCCCAGAGTCCTGTTGTTCTACAGTTTTTGAGTCCCACTGTGAACAGAGGAGCTAATCTCATCTGAGTGGGAGGTAGCTTGCATTCTAACAGATTTATTAACAAATGAGTTAAAGCATGAGTGCAAAATCATATTTTTACCTCCTACTGATCCCAGGTTGAATTCTCAGCTTCTACAGTTCGAATGCAGAGTGGACAAGAAAAAGAAAACTGAACTGCCCAATTTCCCTGGGAGTCAGGGAACTGGAAGCTGCCTGCAGCTGCTCAGTGAAAGCAAGAGGAGTATCAGTATCACTGAGAATCTGCAGGCTTCAGCAACTTAGTCTGCAACAAATTTTGAGTCCTTTTTGTTTGTTTGCTTCTGACTAAGTGGAACCAAAGTTAGGTCGGAAAAAATTCCTAGGGAACAGAAACCCAGCTTTCTAGGCTGGCTGTAAATTAGAGCAAATTGGGTATCTTGTGTCTGATGACTTTGTCTTACTATCCTAATACACAATGCATTCACCAATCATCACTTGTTTAGTTCACAGAGTACTTTCTACCACTGAACACCTCAGAAATGTCGCTTGTTCAGAAACCTCTAACACAATTCTTATAATTCACAAAAGCCTCTGCTGGCTGCAGAGAAGCAGCTCCAGTGAATGGCACAGTCCTCAGTTATCCACAACGTGCACAGTGTGAATGAGACGACTGTCACCTAGCAATAGGGACACTTGTGGGGGAGTTAGAGCATCTGATCCCTGTTTTGGGCAGTTTATGGCTTTTGCAGTAGATGAGCACTGGATTAAAAAAAACCCAAACACAAGCAAACCTTATGGGCAGGTAGCAGAGCAAGGACTCTGCCCTGCCACTGCCAGTTGGGAAACGAGAGTCAGAACGCCTCTCTCCGGCCACTGTTAATCTCTGGCTTGCTTCCGCACAGTCACACAGCTCTGAGGTGTAGCTGCACTAGTGCTGCCTTTCCTGTCGGATGTGATGCACAGCTTCCACTTCTCCAAGAGGGACTGAACTGTATTTTCTCCTTTCTCCTTAAGGCTTCCCCATCCTCCTTTGTAATCCTGTCATATCTAATGACTGTTGAAACACTAAACATTGCCTGTAACCAAGATCCAATTTGCATTTTCATCATCTTGTCCATGTTTTTCTTGCAATTTCGTGCTCAAAATTAGTGCAAAGGTAAGAGTGCAAATTGGATTGATTCTTATTACAATATTTTCTGCAGGACGTTCTGTTGCTTTTGAATTCACACAATCATGGATATATTGCTTTGGTATTTCTTCAAGTTTTTTTTTTTTTTGGTTGGTTGGTTGGGTTTTTTTGTTTCCCTAATAGAAATCATGGATATAATCATAGAATCATAGAATGCTTTGGGTTGGAAGGGACCTTGAGAGATCATCGAGCCCAACCCCCCCCCTGCAGTGAGCAGGGATTGAACCTGTGAACTTGGTGTTATTAGCACCATACTCTAACCAACTGAGCTAACCCGGCTGGTCACTGGGGCAAAAAAAACAAAACAAAACCAACCCCAAAATTTTCCAACCATGCAAAGACTAAGTCCTTTTCCTGGGAAGAGCTGACAAGACTCAGAGCTCAGGATCAGCTATGCAGTATCTAAATTACTTTTGACAGCAATTCTGTTCACTAGCCAACTTAAATACCCCTCTTCTCCTTTTGCCCAAATACATCAGGATGGACTTTTGCAACCCTACACTCTGACCAAGAAAAATAAAGGAATGTAATAGGACGTAACAACAAATTTTTTTGCTTCTTTCACCTCCCCAGTCTCGGAGCTGAATCCTGGTCCCAAGTCACCCCAAGTCCACAGGCTGCCATCTTCCTACCCTTAGGTAAATTAGACAAACCCTGCCTGACTGCCACCTTTGGCTTTTGGGAAGGCTTACACTCGTTTAAGACAGTGCCTGTGTGCACAGTTCCTGCGGCCCCGGTCTGACTGCACCCTTGAAACATCCCAACTGGAGAGATCACCCTCGGAGCACCCTGTGCCCCCATGTCCCTTCCAGCATGGCAGCATTACTTGCTGGGAGGAGCTGCTTCAGCAGCACCCACCTCAAATGAGGAATGAAACTCCATGGATGCAGCTGCTCTTTGGCCACGCTGAAGGCCGGTCAGAACAGTGTATCCAAGAATTTTCTTGCATCCAAATAATAGTCACTCAAAGGAAAAAGCAAACTCAGGTATCCATCCTGGAGATTTCCACTTCTGTAAGTTTCTGTTCCTTGCCTGCTGCTATAGGGAGAACTTAAACCGAAGCTGCGGCACTGTCTAGTTTCCCACACTTCAAGCACATGGAGGAGGGAAAAGGAAAGGTCAAGTTAACAAGCAACAACTGAGCATGAAGTCATATGACTCCCCTGTCAAATGCAAGCAGCCAGAACCCCTGAAGCTGCTGCCAACAATTAGCAGAGTCGGCTATTCCACCTAGGAACACTCTACCGCCTTATTAAGACTAATTGCCATGAGCTATCTGATTGCCTAGGCTGGTGGGGAGATAACCCATGCAGGGAAAAGTCTACGTGCTGCCCTGCAGACTGGTGTTCTCAGCTCTCATCTCCAGAGAGCTTGCTTCCCCCAACTTTTTATTTTTTTAAAAACTGAGCAGCACAGGTTTGTTTTAAAGGCTGCATGCTAGGAAGACTCTGTCACATCTACTGCCTAAAACTAGTGGATTGCTCTAACACAGACTTCAGTAGTGTGAGGAAAAAAATGGTTCTTCACTTAGACTATCACAAAATCTCCAATCCGTGACTTTCCCTGAGCCATTCAAACCACTACACTTGACATATGCAGTTGGAAAAGAATAGTAACTTGAAGAGAGGAAGACCTGCTGTTAAGCAGGTGCAGAGAAAACTTCAGTTTTAATTCAGAGTGGAAGGCAATCTAAATTTCTTTCAATCTGGTCACCCATTCTTAGTCATTAAGCACTTGGTTTAACTACACAGTGTTATATACCTGAAAATGATACCTTAATTAGGAATGGTGCTTTTAAGGAAGACTGCAAAGTAGAACTGTCATAACTGATGCCCAAAACATATTTTCCTATTTCTAGTTTATATACATCTATATTAAAGTTGTAAAGTGTTGTTTCATAGATTTCTGAAACCTGTTCTGTACTACAGATGTTGTATGTGGTCATTGCAGACTTCAAAACTATTACCCCTCATTTAAGAACCAGACAAAGATAGATCTCAACTCTGTATTACTGAAGTTGTAAAATAACATTTTATTTATATCAGTGCTATTTGTTTTCTTAGGAAATTCATACCTCATTTTCAGTAAAATAATTTATTTTTTTTAAAAAAAAGCAGTATGACTTTTTCTGGTCTTAGGTTTGATGTGGAGTTTTGGATAAATACAAAAATAAGTCAGTCAAAAGAAGCAGAAATAATGTTGGATAAGCCAAATGCATCAACCAGAATTTGTGACTTTTAAGGCTACAGAGACCTAAGACAATGATTATAAAGCAAAAATAAAACTTTTATTTTTCATTTTAATGGCCAGTGAAAGGTAGAAGCGAGGTCTACGTCACATAACAAGGAATGCTGTTGTGCTCCTCACAGGAGGCTACGTGACCTCCAGGTCCCTACTGTCACCTTTTACACTCTCAACTGTCTCTGTAATGCTAGAACCTTGAATGAGGCACTTCTATTTTTGTGGAAAATTATGGCACCTCACATGCCATAGACTCTTGTGGAAATTACCCTATAGATTACAAAAAAAAGTCTTGCCTCATAAAATATGGATTTAATTTGAAAATGAATATTGAAAGTTCTGAACTCGTTGGTGATGACATCTATCTTCCTGAAACATGATTCTGCTCATATATGCCCTTCAGAAGCTGTCAAACACTTTGCATCTTTGTCAAATACTGACCGACCTCATTTTGCAAAACCTTTTTCTCTAGATGATTCAAAGGTAAAGTTCTAATTTAAATTTATAAACAAGAGCAAAGAGACACCATAAACCTAAGTCTCAGTTACTACTGTCTCAGTGACAGACGACTGCCAACTATGTTAAAACTTACTTACTTCTGTTTATTTTTCTGATTAGTCCCAGCAGTTCTGTGGCTCTGCTATTTAAAACCAAAAAACCCTAGAATTTTTTTGTTTCAGTTTCAAGCACATGTTAAAGTACTAATCCTGAGAAGAATATAATTTATTGTTTTAAAGACTATTCACTGAATCTAAATTTTTGACTAAAAATGTTTTCAGCAAAACTTTTTTTCCAGCTTTGTTATTTTTATTGGCATTCATGTACTGTATACTACTAAAATCTTCGGAAACAATCTGGGATCAATTTCAGATAAAATAAGTGAAATTTGCCAGTGAACATCCCTAGATAGGATACTTAAAAATCATGTTTGCCGTTGAAAGACTGCATTTGCTGTACTGTCACTGCCTTTTCTAACCAACATTTGAAAGTATATTCGAGCCCAGTTAGCTGAGCAGAAACCATCTCTCCAAGATAGTAATATTTTTTTTAGCTACACTTCTTTCAGGTGAGCCTGAATTTTCAACCTAATCATATATTACTGTTTCCCACTATTAATTTGAGGAGTTGTTTATAATTTTTCTTAGAGCCAGGGTTTTTGTGGAATGGCTCTACCCACTCCTTTTCAAAGGATCCTTAACATAACCTTCCCAAAATCCCCTGGCTTAGTCCCCTGGCTTTTCTCCCTCCCCACTCAGCTGGGCTGACCTTTAGAAAAGACTGGAGCAAAATGCACCACACACATATGAGTATGACAACTCTCGATTTGCTAAGTATGCGTAGAAAGGTACATAGCTGTCAGTAAGTCTTCTTCAGTTAGATTAATTTTTAACTTGGGATATTTCTGATACTTTATTACAAAGGCTGAAGTTGACTCCTCCGAAGGCTACAAAACAACACCATCTCCATTTACTAGCTATGAACTACGGTTAGTGCAACCAAAATGATTTATGGCATTGCTTTGGTGTGTATATGTAAGTATAGTGTAAAGAGCAGTTATGCATATATAATCATGTATACACGCATGCAAAGGTTATACACATAGGACAGCTGTAGATAAAATCCAGAGTTACAGTGATTGCTGCGGGCCAAAACTACAAATATATTCAAAAAGGACCATGAAAATCAAGGCAGGATAGGTTCATTGACAGTTACTGAACAAGAGGGTCTGTGTTTTTGTTTCAGGAAGTCTTCTACTACTGCTTGCCAGAGCTGGGAGGATGTATACCAGGTGAAGGACAACTCTGTACTTATCCCAGGCTTATGTTTTTCTCTGAGATCTTTTGCTGGCTGCTCTTAGAAACAGGATACTGGTCTAGACAGCCTGTGGTGTGACCTACGGTGGCTGTTTTAACTTCTTTCTTTATATCTCTAGGCATGTTTGGGTAAATATCTACAACTTTTCCCTTGGTTTCCTCTATCTTCTTTTTTTTTTTTTTAAATTGCAGTATTCATTAAGTGTTTAATTTTACTAGGGTCACATGAAGCAAAAGTTTCTTTTAATGCAACAGCGATTTAGAACATGCCTGTTGCTTGCTTGCTCACTGAAGGAAGATGAAGCACAAATTGTCTCTCCATGATTTTAAATGTCCTACCCACAGTTCCTTACCCCGGATGATCTACAGCAGAAATAACCCAGGCAACTGATTTGGCTTAAATGTCCTCAACAAAATCTGACATTTCTACTTTCTTTCTCATGTGTATCAGCTTTACTGTAAGAAGAGACAGCCAGTGAGGAGCTTAACTGAAATTGTCCAGACTCTAAAGTGCAGGTTGATTTGATCAACATCCCCTCACTGCCAGATTTCGGCATGAAAGTTCACTGCAAATTGCTTAGACCCTCCTTGACACCATTTTACATATCACCAACTTGATGAGCAGTTTTACCTGGTACAGGCTGGCAAGGTGGTGTTTAGTTTTGATCAGAAAGGGCTGGTTGACCCCTGGATGATCCACGTCATGAGCCGCAGCAGCTAGCAGTCCGAGCATGATGTCCGACGGGGTGAGGAAGTTGGCAAGCTGAATCACACACATTAATCACAAGAACATGAACAGTAAACACTTTTTTTTTCTTTTGGCAAATAAAGGAATCGGCTAACATCATGGCGTTGCTCAGTTTTGTAGGACAGTAGACAAATGTCAAATATAAAATAAATTTTGTGAGCGATGTTTTTAAGGTGACTATTGAACAAACATCTATAAAGATATGAGACTACATACTCATATTTTATTACAATTTGTACTTCTTATCTCTTTATCATTTATGGCAATATAAGGATTGTTGTTATAGAAGTGCTTACGCTTAGTCTAAAAGATTCAGTTTTAAAAAGCAAATACGTATACTAGCAGGTTGGCATACCTTAGCATACATGATAAGGGCTCTGTCTCACACAGTATCTAGTAATACCAACAATATATCAGGCTTCATGTTTTCTAGCACAGCACTGTGCTGTAAAATCCAGAGTTTATAAACTTTCAAAATTTCAAACTTGACTGTTAGATATCTCAGTTCAAATACAGGTATTTTATTAGAGAACATAATTTACCTTTCTAACTTCAGACATCCAAATTTGAAAACCTGCCCAGGTTTTTTTCTACTATGCAGCTTATCATTCAGAAGCAAATTTCGTTATCGTTGGGGAAAAAAAATTGAAGTCTTAGCATTTGCAGTTTCTGAGTGTGAGGCAGTTATTACCAGCCTGATGAGTCTGTACAGAGTACAGGTCTACGAGCTGAAAGAAGCATCCTGTGATGAGAAATGAAGAGCAGTATGGTACACATTCTGGATATTGGCTCTCTTCTGCACTTTTTGACAGCAGGGACTTGCAGATCTTGCAGGAGATGGAAATACAGGAAAGCTGGGGCCTGCTCCTGTCCTCACCATTACTATATTCTGGTCTAACAATTTGCTAATTCTAGCAGAACTTCCCTTCATTGAAGTCAAGCCAGGAAAGATTAGCTATATTCTTACACTGTGGCTCAGCATCACAGTGCCTTCCAGTGACACATAAAGCAACGTCACACCCTCACGTTGTGAGGGCTTGCTGCAGCAGTCAAAAGCTGCTGTTCACTCGTGCAGAGGACACCCTTGCAACGGACCCAGTCAAAGGGGTCTTGACCCAGTTGACCCAGTCAACGCCTTCCCCTCTTCTGCTGGTGTGCTGCCAAATCTGGTATTTTGAAGTATCGATGTGAGGGGCTTATGCCCTGAAGGGACGGAGGCATGGGCATGCGCTGCCGTCTACTGGATTTGCTGGGAGGACTGCAGCCACTCCCAGATGGCTGGTACACATGGTCACGGTAAAACTTACTGGAACTCATATGACAGTATTTTGATATGTCGCCTGCGTGATGACAAGTGACTCCAGTAGCTTGTTTAAAATGTCTGTGATCTGTAGTTGGCTCTGCTACTGCCTCGCTGCTGACTTCAAGTACGCAATCATTTTCCACTATCTAAAAATTATTTTTTGGGTTTTTTTTTTCAATCATGGGAAAAAAAATTTGAGAATTATCTGAAAGCAACATCAGTGTGAAAGGTTGTCATTACCTTGGGCTCCCTCAGATAGCAGTGCATAGCTTGTGTGACATCAGCAGCATGGACAGCATTGTGGTACGGGTTGTGGCTATGGTAATCTTCTTGAACCATAACTGGGAACCAAAACAGAAAATAAAGATTCTTTTGTCTCTGAATGCCATGGCCACAACTGGGAACTGGATTTAAAATACAATTTGAGGTTTTACAGTCAGTTGCCTAAGGAGTTTCTTCAAATATCTGTAGCTTACTTAGACTGGTGCTCTTACTGGGATACCTTTAGAGAAAAAATGCATGAAAGGATTTGTGAGGCCCAAGGGGATATACTGGGTCTAGTTCATAAATCAACTCTTTCTTGCCTTAGTGAAGGCTCTCATTCAGGAGCAAAATAAATACGGAAGAGAGGCAAATTTATCCACAACGGAGTGTTATTTACGTTGCTGTCATAGGGGAGTAACGTCATTAAGGCAGTACCATCTATTTTACAGCGGCAGGGGGTGAGGCCCTGATACCCTGCCATCATTTGTTATCTGAGTGACTAGTAATGGTCAAAGGCACTCCTACATCCTCCAGATGTAGCATTAAGGGGTACTCGGAGCAAAATCTTCTGTGATAATTTTAGTCACGTCTATGCGTCCATTTTAAAATACCAGTCCCTCTTGTGTTAGTGTGCAGTGCTGGAACTGGTCCAGCTGGAAGACTGAGCGACAACCTTTTAACTCTCAGCTTTCGCTTGCACAGAAAATCACCGAGGTGCGTGCTTCACGCTCATCTGTTCCTTGTAGCAGTGCCTGCACCATTAGGTGGTCTCGGGGCAACACCACCATGTGAACAGTGGGAGTTGCATGTGATCTTGCCCAAAGCACTCTCCTAGACACTACCAAATTAATCAAACAGAAAGGTAACGGGCAAATTTCCCATGGCACTCGTCTCCAGCATGGGGAACGCCAAAGAAAGTCCTAGCCTTCAGTTTGTTTCCAGCTCCACAAGCATTTGAAGTTCCAGTGGGTAATCCTTTAAACCCTGAATACCGCTAGCTCTAATTATCCGAGCGTCCACTTCAGGGCTGCCCACAGGAGTCAGAAACGGCAGGCAGATTTTGTCTGTCTCCACACCGGAGGAAGGCTTTCCAGAGGCGACAATTACGCAGTCTTAAGGAAGAGACCTTGCCTTTGAAACTCCGTCTGACAGCCTAACAAACCGGCATTCAGCTGCATTCAAAACATGATGTAAAAAGTAATTGATTTTGGCCAATTGCTTCTTTTGGTTCGCTGACAGCATGGGGCTAATATTTCTGTTGGCAGTAACAGCAGCAGGGGCTTTCATCAACACTATTCAGTGCAGACAGCTTGATATAATTTGTTAAATTTTGCACATAAGCTTTTAACTGCCCTGGGTCTCAGTGGTCTATTAGTCACTAAAATAATGACACTGCACCACAATTGTACTGTGCATGGGTAGGTTCTGCAACGTCTGTCTGTCTGTGTGGGCCTACTCGGCTGGCCACATCTCTGCATGGCATACTTGTTTTTCAGTCACCACTGCAATTGTGGTACTGGGATGCTTCAGCCCAATGCAGAGCCTTTTGAAGTCCCTCCACTGACTTAATGGGTACTGAACCAAGTACCTGAGTGCCTGTAAATTGTATGCTAATACTACCACAGAAATGTTTTACTGAAATATTTGCAACAACCTCATGATTTTACATAGATATGCAGACCAAGCCGGTGCTGCCTTTGATGCCCTGCTTAAGCCGCAAACTGCATTTAAAGATGGCTTTGAGGTGAGCACTTACCGAAAAACCTGTGTAATGTAACCATATCTAACTGGAAATGGTGAATAAGTCCATGCACATTGAAGAGGTGACAAAGCAGTGTTACGAGACTGTTTCCTAAAAGCAGAAAGGAACAACTCTTAGATTCCCTTAACATGTGGTTACAAACCAAGCAAGATTAAAAATCTTTGTAATTTCCTGACTATTAGTCAGCTCCTATCACCTTAGCTCCTATCCTATGAGCTTAGATGACACTTACATACTCAAAAGTGGCTTACATAAATTACTCTTGTATATAATCAAGATTTGATGTTACGGCTGTACCAGTGGGGTGCCATTCTTGTGTCTAGATGCCATAAAGTCATGTTTGCTGTTTCACCATGACACAGAAGGCGAACTGACACAGTTTTAACTGGAAATCTTTTGATAGGCTTGTTTGAGAATCATATCATCTTCATAATCCAGGTCTACCTCCAGAAATGACAGAAAGGAGAATGGCTTTTCTGCCACTTCGGTTTGCCATACCATACTAATTAATTAATTACTGAGAAACCAGCAGTTTGTAATTAAATTTTTTCTTTTACACATGGCTGTACAAACATGTAATGAACCCCCATACCTAGCTCAGCTACAATTGCATCTCATTATGATAATGCAGACAGGAAAAAATGAGTTGCAGCATGTATGGTCTCAAGTCCCATGGTAATGTTACGCTGGTCTTACTGTGAATCTAATACTGGGAACACTGGCAAAATTGAGCCTAACTAGTATTATACGATCAACTATACCCACAGACAGTATTTTAAAAAGTTTGCACTGCATAATTCAGCAGCAATATTTCCAGACAAGTTAGGAAAAAAACCCCAAACCAACCAACCCATACAACGTATAAACAATGTTTGAAGGGAGTCTTATTTAATGTAACTCAGGAAAGAAAATAAATACATGTACGGAGAGGACATGGAAACTTATTTGGCCCTGACTACTGAGCAGGGGTGCAGAAAGGTAATTTAGAAGAATTATGCTTTTGCTTCTCTTGCCATTTGCAGTCCTTTCCACTCTTCACTGCCAGTCACTCAGCTGAATTACCCTCTAAACCAACTTTTTTCAACACCTTCTGCCCCAGCCAAACTTAATTAGGTTGGGGGTGAGGGATGAGGGATCTCATTCCTATGAGCAATACAGAAAGGAGAAAGGTGTGATCATGACCCTCTTCAGCAGTTGCCTGATCAAGAGGTATTGCCTAGACATTAGTGTGTGTGTGTGTGGTGTTACAGGCATATATTTAGACAAAACGTTTCACAGATTTTTACTGTCTTAACGAATTTCCTAATTTTTGCTGCTGAACAGAAGCAAGGGTCTCTTCAGTTAAAGGTATTTCACGTTGATAAAAATCGACTGATTATGGAGGTCTGGACTTATCAACCAAGGTATCTAATAGGTATATTTAAAGTACCTTTGGAATTTCCCAGGTAAAGGAAACTGAAACACGTCCTTGAAAAGGTGACCATAACAATTGTAGGAGATTAGATTAATATAAAAACACACTTTAAACATTATCCGACAGTTGTGAACGTTCTGGGAAAAGTCTGAAAATGTTCAAGGATATGATTTTAAGATAAGTTAACTGTGTTCGATTTCTCTTCAGTAATCTAAACTGGAAACGTTTAGCAATTACTTAAATAGGGATTTTAGAATAGTCATATATGAGAGATACTAAAATAAAAACTTTTAAAAAATTACTTACCATTTGTCAAGCGGTCAAACAAGAAAATGTCAAAATCCCACATTCCCACTTTGGATAGCATATGCTAGAAAAAAACAAATATGGAAAGGCAAATGACTGGTATGTCAAACTGTAAAGCAGATTTAAATTATTATTCCGCATTAATCAATCACAGGACTGGTCGCTGCAGCTTTAAAGTTTTGTTTGGGAAAGCTATAGAGATACATTTGTAATATCAGACATCAGGAACCAAATTTAGCTATACTGCATAAAATATCACTTGCACTTTTAACTGAGGAGGTTTTGAACTTGACAAAATACCTTCTAAATGGAGCTCAAAACATGGAATAATATAAAACAAAATATTATGAAAATATTCCCTTTTACTGCACAACTTTTTTATTGTTCTTTCATGTCCCAAAATCAATTCAGTACAAATTCTCATAGGTTTTTATTACAGTAAAACACAATCTTAGCTCTCATGGTGAATATGAATTACATTTTGCTAAACAAAGCAGTACACAGGAATAGCTTTTATAAACTTAGATACAGTGCTGCTGTGAAGCCCACTGAGCCACGCAGAAGAATCCATCATTACCACCATATACAGTGTTTTTACAGCTACCTCAGTTCAGCCAAGAGACTGAGTCTGGACTAACTGTATGACCTGCAAAGGCATATGTGTGAAGGAAATGTGCGTTCACTCTCATCGCCTAGTCTATATTCAAACCAGTTCTGGATCCTTAATTACTTTCTAACACCTGGCACGTAATCTCTTGCAGAGAACAAAAATTGCCTAGGCACATAATCCCGATACCATCAGTTGTGCAAGTTTTCTTAGAAAGTATCATTCAAAGCAAGTAGAAGAGCTGCAAAGTAAGCGAATTATATTTTGATTATTGTGAAGTTCTTTGCAGTAAATGTTCCCTGCTTCCTAGCCTTTGCCGTTACAGAGAGCTATTGCGGGTTGCCTAATAGCTGCTCCATACCAGCTGAGAGACAGCTGTCTTTTTTCAAGCGGATGAACTAAATCCTCTGTCGAGGCTGCACTTACTTAAATCAGTAACTCAGCCAGGGACCCTTCATCCTTTAATAAACCCAGATTATAATTTCAGTTGACAGAATCTGAAAATGTTGAATAGATTTAGACATTTTCTTGTTGCTTTGAGACTAAACCTTTAAAGCTGCAATGATAAAAGAGGAACGGACAGTCTGTTTGCTGTGAGGCAGGCAAGTAACGTGCGTCATTTAAGAAAGATCAGCAATACATTTGTTTATCTGAACACTGAAACAAAACTGACACCCCCTGGAATATTATTAAAAGAAAGGGCGTTCTGGAGACCCATCTTACCCTTGCTTGCCCAAGGTAGTCCTCATCCAGTAGGTATAGAGAGGCTTGTGGTACAATTCCACGCAGTAACCGGGATGCATGGAAATACCTCTGGAAACTTAACAGTCTTTTCACTTTTTTCTTGGTGCCAATTTCCCCTGAGAGTGTAGTATCTGTGAAAAGCAATCAGTACAGAAACCACGAAACCCAAGATGAAGGATGAAATTCTCAATTATTTAATGAGAGAAATACCAAAACTTTAAAACAGTGATGCAAAAATGATAAAGTTCATGCTTCTTGCCAATCCACATGAAGGAGCAGTATTCAAATCCCTATACTTCAGCATAATATATTTATTTATTTCAGAAAGGAAATATGTTCCAGTAAAAAGAGTACTAATGGAGGGCTTGGAAGATCCGCGTTCAGTACACTGCCTGCCACAGACTTTAATGTGATCCAGACTAAGTTGCTGGGGCGGGTGATACATCATCTGGCTGTAGATGTCTAGAGGGAGCCTGAATGAGTAGGCAGAGTTAAGTACGAGAAAGCTGCTCTTCCTCTTCTCTGCCTCTGCTTCTACCTATACAACTGAAAACAGTATTACCTTGCTACCTCACAGGAGCGTCACTGGAATGCATTAACATTGCGTAGCACTAGCATACAAGGTGATCTTGGGTATAAAACCAAAAAAGTGACACCAAAAGAGACCAAATACAGATTTCAAAATACAGTTGGAAAGCACTAATGTATGACCTTTCACTTTTGGAAAATGACAGAAAAGAGAGAAGGAAGTAAGAAAAGGTTAATAATCCTACTGCATTGTCTGCTGTCCTTCCTACGTATTAGGGCAAATTATAAATGAAGAAAATGTTTTAGTTCTACAATTAGGAAAGCAAGGGTATTCAGGCAATACATCCATTTCTGGTTACACAACAGAGTATGTTCTTTTCACTCAGTACCAGGATAATTCTAATTCCCTAATGCTGTATTAGGAGATTTTCATATAGGGCTAAATGTGACAGAAAAACCAAGGCAGTTTTTATACAGTGATTAAATCAGTAATTACAGTAATTAAATTACCTTATTGTTAGTAAGAATAATATGCAGGCTTCCTAAAATGATAATGACTTAGGTAATTTCATCTGAACTTTTAGCAGAACCTCATGTGCAGTTGTGATGTTTTCATTTTGCAGTCTGGCATAAGTCTTGGAAAAAGGGAGGACAGAAACTGGACAGTTGTTTGAAGGTAGTGAGATTCAACACAGTTTTATTCGTAAGAGGAACCTTGTAAGAAACCCAAGATTAAGCACTGCTTTTAGAGAACAGTAATGATTGCTTGAGATAAGAAGCTGCATAGCAATTCACTGGATTTCAGGTTTAAATAAGAGCTCAGGAAAAACATCCATGGACTGAAGATGACTCTCTCTACTCTGCTATTTCTTTTTATGCAAAAATGCTAGCGTTTGTTCTGCTGTGAAATTAAAATATGACTTTGTATGCTGTTTTTATGAATATTATTATCTGAGGAGTTTTTCAGAGAAGTTATTAAGGTGTTTTCGGATCATAAGTGGTTCAGTATTTGATTTCTCCAACAGCAGATGTATGAGAACCTTCTGTAGCAAGTTTATTCCTTAAGTAATCCAACAGCTATTGATTGACACAAAGTCAGTAAGAACAAAAAAAATACATACTTACATAGTGAGTATCAATAATTAATATATTTTCTTAGACCTTAGAGTATGTCTCACACTTCTCATGGGCAGCCCAAAGACCCCACCGAGTTTTAATAATATACAAGCAGAAAATAATTTTATTGCAACTTGACAAACCATGTGTTTTCAAGAATGCAAGCAGTAACAATGTCACTACTGTACGAGCCTTAAGGTTAGATTTTCATTTATGATGTGCCAGCACCTGCCTTAATTCTCTCACACATTTTAAAAGCTGGAACAATTTCATGGCCCGTTGAAGGAGTGACTAACGTAGGTGCTAACAGTTACCCAGTGACAGCGACATGTGGAGGAACTGGTAGACTTGTTTTCTCATTTCTTTTCATTTATATAGTGCTGCTAAGAAGTGGCTGGCATTCGGTTTAGTTCCTGAATAACAACACACTCTTAAAATTAATTCACTTTTTAAACTTGTGTCAGCTGTTTCTCAACTTTCCTAATTCCATCTTTGCCCCCAGACTGTCACTGCTTTCAGGTAACAAGTTTAAATGTTAATGTATGGAAAACTTCCCTTTCGTACATTAAAAATGAGTAGTTGCTCCAACTAATTTTTATCTAAGTTAATATCTGTTTTTTCAGTTAAAGACAGATGACTGAAATTACCACCTATGTTCCCCTAAACTGTCTTTAAAACTCACATGTAGAGTTGCTGTGGATGATCTGAAGGTGAAGGTTTGGCCTGAGTCCCAACAAGCAGCTGTATGTTGGATTATCAAGAAGTGTTTGTTTTATCCTTTGGATTACCAGATTATTTCAGTAGCACAAATAATACTTACCAAACCACAAACACATCAGGTTGAAATAAATAATTTCTTTTTGTGAAACGTATTTTCTGCACTGAACCATCAAACTTGTTGCCACTGCTTTGTCACATTGCTCTGTACGGTTGTCACGGGTCTCAACTGAAATTTAATCATCGGCAGACAGTGCCTCTGAAACATGACTTGCTGCTTCAGATGAGCACTGCATTACAATATATTATGCAAAAAAGATTACCCACAATAATCTGTTGCCCTGTATTTTCATTCATAAGGGCAGGAGTTCATAATACTGATAAAGAACGGTAGGAAATGTATTTTCAAAACTGGGCTCTTGACAGAACAGCCTGAATCCCGCACTGCAGTCAATCAACATGCAACTCTGGATATCATGTTAAAATCATATCCTTTAGGCCATTTCAGTAATAATTGATTTGTCCATGAATCATGGGACTTGTCAGATGATTGCTATGATCCTAACAGATTCCTACGCCATCCGGAATAATGTACCTTATTATGATGTTGTCTTGCATAAAACTGGACTAAGACTATGCCCCTCTCCGAGCACAACACACCCCAGACTTTTATAATCTCATCAGCATTTTCTCTTTCCCCTACCAAGATCAGTGTCAAACAAAAAAGAAAAGCACGGCCATATGAAATTGAGAGGAAAAGGACACCTAAAAAAGAAGAGCAAAAAGCGAAGCAGCTGAAAGTCGATGCTGAAATTCTGCCCTCAGCTCAGCAGTCGTACCTGAGCCTCCCAGCAGTGAAGAACCATTCCTAGCTATGGGACCCACCAGCTGACACAAAACCAAGATGCAGTTTTAAGATGAAATTAAACGTTTATGTGAATGACTTACAGTAATACGCTGAACATACCACTTCTTTATTGACAATTGTAAATTTCAATTTAAGTTGTGAAGACAAAATTTCAATGATGACACCTGATGTAAGTCATATAATGACTCTGAAACATCAAGAGTTATTGATAGCTATTGCTAATTAGGTTAAATTGAATTACAAGTAAATGAATCAAAAATATCATTGCAGATATCACTGAACTTCAATCGTGGAACTACGGGTACTAGAACATATGCTATATTATCTAGTTAAAGAACACAAGCTGCAAGGCTCACATGGGAAGGATTTAGTAATTATGTGCAATTTGGAAATGAATGTGAAAGATGAACAAGAATGTCTTTTGTTTATACCCATAAAACTTCCCTTGAGAACTGTGTTTATCTTTAATCATTGTGGCAACTTCTGAATGTTTTCTTTACCTAAAAAAAGCATCATCTGTATCTCTTAAAAGATGCATATTCTCATGGCCTGTGTAGTTACTGCCTAGCACAGTGGTTGGAGAATCCCTTCTTTGTATAGTGAACAAAGTTACTGTATGAATTACACATACACATATTGTATGCATTACATACATATTTACAGAAGCGCCCATATAAGCATTCCTCACAGCTTAACTTCTGCCTTGAAAAACACAGGCGGCCTGAGCTCACAGCGTATCTCCTGACGTGCTTCAGCTGGCAGCAAAAGTAGTTGCATTTTTCCTTGGGTAATTTGATAGCCACATCACGTATACACACTATCGGGCCATGGATGATGTCTGGATACTGCACATGGCCCTCAAGAGGTTAATAAGCTACAGGAATCAATGGTTGCCTTCTCTCTCCTAACAAAGTTCCTCCAGTTACACAGATCTGCTTGCCCTAATGTGATCTATGGCCCACTACACCCCAACCTCTGTTATTTCAGGAAAAGAGGTTTCCTGCACTAGGAACTGCTACCAGTTTTCTTTCAGATTTCTTTCACATTGCTGCACTAAGTGTGTGCCCACAGGCAGCGTGAACATAAAAATGACAGAGGTTATGTTAACAATGGTTGAGTTAACATCCAGAAACGATCACATAAATCAAATTTGGACAAGGATATACTTAACTCGGCACCAGACATTCATTACGTTGTTATTGTTCTTTCAAAGTAAACAAACTTGGTTATGCATTCAAATAAGGCCTGTGAGTTTTCCTTCACAGTATTGCCTTTTTTTATTTTATTGCACCTCAGCGTACAATAAAAACAGGTCACTCAGCAGCACGAGTGGATAACAGGCTTATTAATTTTCAAAAGCCAACTGATTAAGAAACAGAAAATGTTTTTCCTCTTCTTTCCAAAAGGATGCAGAATAAACCCAGCCTATGTAAATCAGGTCATCAAGCACTTGCCTTTGACTCATATGGTTTATAATACCCTTTCCCCTCTTCTGAGGATGCAAAGACATTCTGTATTCAGCCACTGCTCTACCACGGTATGCCTGAAGAGTCAGGCAGGACTGGTAGAAAAGTGCTGGCATAGCTGGAAGAGAAGGCAAGAGGATCAGACCAGCAATTTACCATCCAGACAGTTTGCAAACAGTGAGGACTCTGGGAAACAATTTGTTTCTGGTCCTATATGTTACGGAGGCAATTTCCTGCACTGGTTCCCGGTTTGACAGCTGATTAGAATGCTTTTATTTGAGAGCTCAAGAGAGATGTAATTGACTTATGAGGAATAATCAGTGTTTGTCCATTTTTTTGTGTGTCAAACCATGCCAGGCATTTAGATCACCTTTACTGAAGTCTTGTTTGGCATACTCATTGCATGACTTGGTTGCTAAATTTTTCTTATAAGGAG